ACTCCCCCTTCTACCCCTGCTCGCCCTGCCCGCCGACGAGCCCCCGCTGGAGGCCATGCTGGGCGCCGCCTACGCCGCCGCCGACGCGGTCGACGACGCGGCGCCGCTGCCGAGGCCAGGCGCCCCTGCGACCACCCCCGCCGCCGCCGTCGAATTAACGCACATGCGCTGCGGGCTGAGAATTGAAAACGGCGTCTGGGGAGTCAAAGGGGACCTGTCGACAGACGGCTGGCCAGACAGCAAAAATGACCCTGGAGAAACGAGCGAGCTCGCTCCTGCAGACGTCGTGTCGGGCCCCAAAGTCTGACTCTTGTCAACGCTGCTGGGGCTGGGGCTGCCAGCCGCCGGAGGGCCCTCAGGGGTATTGACCGATCGGCGGCGCTTCGGGGGAGGCGGCGTCACTGGCACATTCCCCGCGAAAGCGCCCTGCTGCGCGACAGGCATCGGAGCACCCATCGCTTTCGGCACCTCCACCGCGTGCCCGAGCGATAGCGTCGGCGACGTAAGATGGTGGATGGCACGGCTGAAAGGCGAGACCGCGTCGGCGGCCATGGCCGCGCCACCGCTGCTCATGAGCGCGGCGCGGCCAGGCGACGACGCCTCGTTGAAAGCAACAGCCGACGCAGGGCGAGGGCTATCAGCAAAAAGAGGGATCACTTCTGGATCAAACTCGACAGTATCAGCAGAAGCAGCAGCAGCAGCAGCAGCAGTTTGCGGTACAACAGCAGACGCTGACGTTGCGCCTCCAAGCCCTGGCGACCCTGACGCCGGGGGGCTCGCTGGGCCGCCGGAGCCAGACGCCCCGCTGGATCCAGAAACAGACCCCGTGCCAAAAAGGCTTCGCAAGCCATAGCGGCGCTCAGTGACTGACATCAAGTCCGTGAGGGTAATGATCGGAAAACGTTTTGACTGGTAGGTCCTGGCCCCCATCGATGGCAAAATGAATAGAGACAAAAAGATGCCTGATCCGATCGCCGTGACGTTCATGGTGTTGCCGAGCTGGTTAGTCATCGACCTCCGGGCAACTCAGGGGATGGCGGGGTGGGGAAATAGATAGGATAATTGACAATGGTCTGGGGCGGATGGCGGAGCAAGGGGGGGGGGACGAGGGTAGTCGAATGGTGACAGGCACGAGCACGTCAGAGAGTGCATCCACAGAGCGCGTTGTCTAAATCGTACCAGATCACGTAGCAAGTGGAACTAGTCTTTCTCTGGGCGCCCAACGATCCCAAACCCATCTCCACCTCAACGCCTCACCTCACCCTCCAAATGCTCGACCTCCCCCCGTCCCATCTATGTTCCAATTTAGTCTTGCCTCCTCCTGGAGCCCCCCCCCCCTGCTCAGGCGCGCCTCCTGGTGCGGCCGCGGGTCTCGAAGATGCCGACGTCCATGGTGAAAGGCCCGTATGCGCCAGCGATCTCTTTCTGCCTCTTGTCCAGCGCGAACCCGAATATTTGCTGAATTTCCACTGGCACAAGCCACCGCCCCATCTGACTGGAGAAGAGGATGCCGTTGCTCCTGTGGGCGCATGCTATCTCTCTTCAGCTCCCTCGTCATCCTCGTCCTCCTCCTCCTCCTGACTCCTCATCGTACTCATCTTTCTACTCTCTTTCTCTCTCTCTCTCTCTATATATAGCTCTGTCTCTGCCTGTCGGTATTTCTTTTTTTTTTCTCTCTCTCTCTCTCTCTCTCTCTCTCTCTCTCCCTCTCTATCTCTCTCTCTCTCTCTCTCTCTCTCTCTCTCTCTCTCTCTCTCTCTCTCTCTCTCTCTCTTTCTTGAGTTCTCTCTCTCTCTCTCTCTTTTTCCTAATCCTTCTCCTCCCCCCTCCTCATTCTCCCCATCCCCTCTCCTCCTCAGAAGACGCTGGTTCGGCTCGGGTTGGGGCGGACGAGGGCCCACTCAGCCTCAGAGGCGACGTGCTGGGGGGGCCCGATGACGCGGGCGGTTGAGAAGGATGGGGCGGCGTGAGGAGGGCGAGGAGGGGTCGAGGGAGGTGGGCGAAGGGCAAAGGAGGAGGAGGGCGACGAGGACGCGGAGGGAGGAGGCTGAAAATGGAGGATGGTAGAGGGAAGAAGGAGAGGAGGAGGAGGAGAAGGAGGAGGAGGAGAAGGAGGAGGAGGAGGAGGTGGAGAAGGAGGAGGTGGAGAATGAGGGAGGAAGGAGAAGGAGGAGGACGAAGGGGGAGGAGGAGCAGCCCCCTATGGAGGAGGAGGAGGAGGAGGTGGAGGAGGAGGAGGAGGGAAGGGGAGGAGGAGGAGGATGAGGAGGAGGAGGAGGAGGATAATACTGAGGAGGAAGAGGAGAGAAATCTTTCTACTTGCCCCATCCGTTCTTCACAAGGATCCAGGACCCGCAACTTGCCTCGATCTGCTTAGTCCCAGGGAGTCCCAGGATGCCCAGAGTCCTGGATGCGTCTGTCCTGGATGCTTTGGTCCCCTGGCCCCATATATGCCACCACCTCTCGCCTCCTCTGGCCCTCTGGCCCAGAGGAGACGTGGCGCCAATCCCGGACGCGGCTCGACGCCCCTTCCCATTCGCGAGGTCCGGAGGATCGGGCCCGCCTTGCCATCGCGGGAGTAGAGCCCACGCGCCTCGGGATTCTGGTTGAGGTCCACCAGCTGCTCGCCGTACAGAAGATCATACTGCGTCAGCCGCTTGCGCTCGGATGACGTGAGAGCGGCATGGAAGGAGTCGGCCTGGCTCTGCCGTTCAGGCTCTGCCAAGCTCTCAGACCCCCGAACTCTCCTTGGACTCTTGGACCACTCACGGGCCCTCCCCGAGGCCCCCGTGGATGCTTGGGAGGGGAAATGGTGGGACCCCACGGGCCCCGCGGGGTGCATTTCTGTGTTGACTCGTTTCCTGCTGACGCTACGGCTGGTTTGAATTTGCTAGTTCGAGTTGTTGTTGTTGTTGTTGTTGTTGCTGCTGTTGTTGTTGTTGTTGTTGTTGTTGTTGTCGTTGTAGTTGTTGCACGCTGCTTGACGTGTGTTCACTGTGTCACCTCTGTTGTGCTGCATTTGCATATCATGTTTGCGAATCGTCTGTATCGAGTCCATTGCCATTGCCATACTTAGTCTAGCATTGCGAGTTTGTCCTGGACGAATTTTCGTCGTCCTCGTCAGTCAGTCAGTCAGCCGTCGTCGGGTCGTCGTCGCATCGTCGTCGCGGTCGATGTCGGCGTCGTCGAAGTGGCCCGAGTCGAGGTGGCGTTCGTCGACTCGTCGGATTCGTCGTCGGGGTAGGGGTCGTTATTCCGGATGTTCTCTCGACGTCATCGCTGATGCCGCCGACGGCCGATTGCCGACCCAGGCAGCGCCTCGTCATGGTGATCTTCGTCATCGAGGTTGCGGCGCTGGACGAAGGCCCGCGCCTGCTGCTGATTCTTGTCGTTCTCCAGGATAGGGTGCCCATCGGGGAGCGCGAAGTAGTCCTGCCAATTGAACATGACAGTCCTGCGGGCTGCGGGTGAGAGATAGAGAGACGGAAAGAGCGGAAGATAGAGAGTTGGAGAGATGACGGGAAAGGGGTCGAATAAAGAAAGCTAGCTAAGCTAAGTCCGTGCAGACCAGGGCCCCAGGGCCAGGCCCCCACGTGCAACGCTGGGCCGAAGATGGGCGATCGAATAACGCACGGACTAGTGGGCCCCAGTGGGCTTACTCTTATCCTCTGGTAACTGCGGCGGCTGTGACTGATGACCCCTTAAGACGGCAATGTGCTGTCAAGTAGGTTTTCAAGGAGCACGATCCAGCTTTGGACGACGCCCACGGGGCCCATAGAGGCTCCATCGGGCCCGCGGACATGAATGCCAACACCGATGCTGCGACAAGCGGAATGAAAGGTGGAAGCTGAGCGGCAGGGACGGAGTGCGGAGCGCAGGGGTGGGGCCAGAGAAAACAGGAGGACCCTTTATTGCCAGAGTGGCTTCCTGGCTTCCCTTTCCTTTCCAACGGCATGTAATATCACTACTTTGCTGCAACGTTGCAATGCGCACGCAAACTGGCTCACCGAGGACCGAAGACGCCGCGGCGGCCGATGGGGAACCTGCGCGGACGACGCAGACTGCTCTGGGCAAAAGCCCGGGTACACCAAGACACAAGTCTCGGTGCAAGAGCATCCAAGATATCTGCACGGTCTGGGACGCCCTCCTTTGGCAGCCATACGCGCGCCATCCAAGCACCAAGTCCGCACCGAAAAAAAAAGCTCGAGATGCGCGATGCTGGCATCGCAACTCGCGCGGCACGAAGCGGTCTGACCCTGACCGTCAGACCCAACCCTCGAAAAAGGCGTGGAGTGCAGGGGCAGGGAGGGATGGAGATAAATAAGAAATTTGATGAGAAGGGGGGAGAGGGAGAGAAGAGGAATATATAAACATATGACATGATACGGAAAAAGGCAACTGTAAACGAAATAACGAGACAACGTGAAAGGATAGAGAAAGAGAGACAGAGAGAACACATTGCGAGATGGAGTTGGCAGGAATGGCTCTTGGAGATAGGGCAAACTGAGAGAGAGTGAGAGGGCGAGCGAGGTAGGTACATACGATTACCTCTGAGACATGTTGCGAAGGAGCAACGGGCATGATTGATAGGAAACTGGCGACGCGAAGAAGCGCAGTAATACAGATTGGAGGGCAGATCAGCGAAGCCCTGGGGGGGTGCCGATGGCCGATGCAGAAGTGCGCACTGTAAAGCGCACCCACACCAATCAGTGAACACAACGAGGGTCTTGTGCAACTGTAGAAGGCAGTGGTCGATCTGCTAAAAAAGCAAGCCTGCGCTTTCAGAGTAGTTCCCCTTCCCCCATCCTCATTCCTCCCCATATGTTTGTATCATGCGTTTAGGCATATTTACCCTATGCATATTTCTGGTTGGGATGAAGGAAGAGCGCGCCCTGTCGATGAAATTGCGACAGTATCTGCGCGGCCTGCGACTCAAACTGATTCAAACACGATCGATCAGACACTGGCCGCTGGATTGCAGAAGAAGCCTCATTACCTCATTACCTCATGAGGTGCTTCCAGACTGCAGCGGGCGGCAGCTCGAGCTTGTCATCCACAGAGCCCTGAGAATCTCCCTTCTTCCCGACGCCATCCTGGTCCTTGTCCTTGTCGGATGCATCCTTCTTGGCGGGCGCTTCCTCGATGAACTTGCGGCGCACTAGCTCATCGCCGTGCACGGTGGTACCACTTGGGAACAGGTTGTAGAGCTTGAAGGATATTTTTGGCGCTGCAGACCCAGGTGAACCAGAAATGAATGGGTCCTCATTTTCGGGGGCAGCGTCCTCGATGGTAGTCCCCATGGGCGAGTCGATCTGGATCGTCCTGCAAGCCGCCGTCATGGTGGTCCTATCCTTGGCGGCGTCGGAGACTACAACAGACTTGACAGCCCAAGCTGGTACGACGAGATCTGAGGCTGCCGAACAATTCGAAGACGTAGGTACCAGGTAAGCATCGTGACCGAGACTCTTCCACACTGCGATCTTGATCAACCCCTTGGGATTCTTCAAAGGCTGCTCGGACGGCTGCGCGACGACCTTGCCAATGAAATACATGTTGATCCGAGGCAACTCCGCCAGCTCAGCCTGGCGATCGCCCTGCTCAGCGTCGGCAGCCTCAGCAACCTCAGCAGCGCCCTTGATATGGAGCTTGTGTTTCCCCGGCTGGCCGCCAGGCTTGATGACCACGTGCTCCAGGCCGACGTCTTTCCAAATTCCCTGGTGGTTCTTGCCGAGGAAAGCCGCATACAGCCAATCTTGAACTGCTCCAGCTGCGACCTGAGCTTGCCACGCCTTGCTCTCAGGCCCCCCTAACACATGGATGAGCGAAACCTGTCCGTGACGACTCAGCGCTTCCTCAATGGACTGCCGGAACAACGGGTCCACGGCTTCGTTGTCCCCGCTGGATGTTGGTTCTGCATGCGTGACCAGTTGTTTCACTAGCGAGTCCCACCTCTGCGCCAGCTCCATCTCTGTCTTTCTCATCTGGGCCACGACCATCCTTGTGTAGATGGTGACCAGCTGGTCCTTGAGCATGCCATCTACCTGCGCTGCAGTCAGGTGGCGCGCGTCGGGTGGGTCCCCAGTGGCGGGGGCGATCGCCGACCCTGCAGCTGCCTCTGCCTCTGCGGCGCCCTCGGCGCCCTCGGGCGCTGCGACTGCGGCAGCCGTGCCGTCGCCGTCGCCGTCGTCGTCCTTCCTCTCCACGGGCGGCGCTGGCAGCGGCGCTAGCCCGCTGCTCTGCGCGTCCCCAGCGCTGCTGATGCCGTCCTTGATGAGCGCCTGTCTCGGCCCAAGACTCCAAGACTGCAACCTCAACGCATCCGATCCCCTGCCGCCGCCCTTCAAACCTTCAAAACACCAGCCAAAACATCCTCGAAGCGCCCGGGGACTCGGGGACCTGTTTTACAACGGGGGCAAAGCGAACGGCAAACTACAAAAAATATACAGAAATCTCACGGTGCGGATTTCTGCTGAGCGGTTGTTGTGAATGATTTGAGGTTGCACCGTTGGCCTTGAGGTCCTTGACCGATTTCCTGCTCGCCTTGCTTGCTTCGGCCCGCTCGACGCGCTGCCACTGGTCCTCTGTGCGCAGCTCGCACTCTGCCGACTTCAGCGCCATGCACCGCTTCAGCAGAGAGGACCAGACCTCCTTCCACTCGTCCGCGGTGGACACCGCCATGTCCATGTTGGACGCCTCGCCCACGAACTTTGAAACCATGCTGGCGCTGAACTCAAACTGCTCTACGCCGTCCGCCAAGATGGAAACGTCCTTCTGCTCTGCTGCGAGCCTAGCGCGAATGTTCAACAAACTGATTCTCGCATCGCTGAACAAGGCCTCTGTGTACAATGTCCTCAGACACTGCATGCTACGCAGCCGCGCCTCGGACCCGACCTTCTCGGTGAGCTTCCGGATCAAAGGTCCGTAAGGCAACCTGTCTGTGCATGTGTAGATGTTCTGCAAATATGATTTCGACTCCGATGGCCAGGCCGCCCGCGGGCCCCTGATCTGCGTGGCCGCGCGCCGAACTGCGGGAGAGCTGCTGTCGGCCACCCACTCCGCCATCTTGCGAATGGCATTGAAGAAATTGAAGATGTTCAGATCAACGACCGAATTGATGGCGTCCCCGCAGGCATCGACAATGATGGTCCGAATCTCATCCGTAGTCTTGGCGTCGGCGAAACGCTGGCAAGTGGCATCTGTCTTCATGGCTTTGTTCAACTGCCGGACGGCCTCGGCCATGAAAAAACAGCCGAACGTCAGAATCGTTGTATATCATATCATATATATATAAGGATCAATATTGACAGCTACCCACAAGCTCTTTCATGAGTAACTGGGGACGGTGGCGCGGGGAGGGACAGGGGGGCTGGGCGGTGGGCGATAGTGGGCGATGACCGAGACTTGCAGCAAACCCAATTCCCCAGTTCACGCAACAGGGGTCCGATCCCTAAAGAACCCCGAGATTCCAAGGCAGATCCAGATTGCGACCGAGATGAGCTCGAGGGCGAAAGAAACTCCACTACCTCGAGGGTGCCTGGGACCTCGCGTTCTTAGGGCCGTCGAGTTATATTGTTCATGGCATGCGAATCGGAGGGCGCCCGAACCCCCCCGCCCGCAATCGCCCCCCACCCCGCTCTCCACCCCCGCCCACTTCCCAGATACCCCCAAAACTGGCGCAACAAGGACTGCGGATGTTAAGAGAGCCCCGTAGCCACACAGTGGCCCCAAGAGCCCGGACCTTTGGGCCCAAGGGGTTCGAGAGGACTCAGCCTCCAAGAGGAACTCAGGACCTCCGACTGTTTCAACTTAGCTGAAGCAGGCGCTCAAAGACTCAAGGATGGCAACAGCGCGCCAATCCTTGCGTAGTGATGTATGTCTGCCTGCCTGCACCTCCTCTTCAACTCCTCTTCCTCTTCCTCTACCTCCTCCTCCGAGGCTACTCCCCCTCTCCTCCCCCCCCTTCTTCGTTTCGCCCCCCTCCCATTAATGGGCGCTTGATGGGGGGCGGGGTGCCCGGAGACGGAAGCGTCGAAAGTGCCGACCAGGGGGGCAGGATTCAGGGCGCCGCGAGGAGATCTTCGGGCCGTGCCCAGCATGCCCCAACAAAGCCTTCGTGAAAGATATATGCTCGTTCCTGATGTCCGATCTTGATGGCGGCTCCGTCGACACAGTGTTCTCCTCTCGGCGTTAGCTGGGCGACGGCAACGAGAGTGGAAGGGGCCTGGGCAGGGCGCAGAGGAGAGCGCAGTGGGCTGGAGGAAAAGGGGCGAGGCTAAGAAGGGCTTGGCAGCGCAAGCATGCATGGACCATGCGGGTGAGTGAGGTTGAAGGGGGTGGCAGGGCAGCTGGAGCAGCATAGCGGGGTGCAGGCGTGACGTAGGAGAGCCGCGCGCAGGCCCAGGCTCCTCCATGAAGCTGTTCACCCTGGCCCCGAACTTCGAGTCGCTGGCGAAGAACTCGCGGATGGTGTCGAGGATGCGATCTGCTTCCTCCTCCCCCGCATCATCTTTCTCGTCCTTCTCCCTGTCGGGCATGTCGGCGTGGTCCGGGTCCGATGCGCGGGGCCTCAGGGTGTGACGTCTCAGCAAGTCTTGCTTGATCCGCTGTCTGAGCTTGCACCAGCCCTTGTACACAATCGTCTTGTCGGACTCATGCCTGCTGCCTGTCGAGGAAAGGCGGGGGGCAGATGGGCTGGCATATGGAGGGGGTGGCCTGATTCGGCCCGATAGGTTTCACCGAAACGGTTTCATCCAGTCGGCCACAGGCCGCTCAAGGCCCCGTGGATTGGGGAAGCGATGAGGTCCGTGAAAACGAGCTCACAGAAGAACATTCTTGACGAGAACGCGCGAAGGTGGAGGCACGGGGACAAGGGAGTGGCAGATAGAGGAGGAGCTGAGGAGTTGAAGGATGGAGGAAAGACGGGAAGGCGGAGGAGGTGAAGGAGGAAGAAATTGATGAAGAAGAGGTGGAGGAGGAGGGGAAGGGGAAGGCAAGTTTCGCTTCAAGCCTGCGGCCCCCGCGCCCCCGCTCTCCTTCTTGGACACTGGTAGCTCCAATGACCCCTCAATGACGAACTGCAGCGACAACAAGTACGCCGTGGAGATCGCGCTCTCGTTCCTGCGGGCTGCCTCCTGGACCGTGTACTCCACGGCGTTGACCACGTCGTCGATCCACAGCGTGTCCCGGGTCCCAGTCTCCTCGGTGACCTCCGCATCCATCTTCTCCTCGTCGAGGGAACTCGCGAGCCTGGCCGCCTGTTTAGATTTGGTTTTCGCTTTCCCTTTGGCTTTGGCTTTGCCCTTGGGCCTTGGCTGGTTCACGCTGCCTTCAGGAGCCTTGGATGCAGTGAACGCCTTGCTGGCCTTCATGGGAACGAGGACCATTGGCAAACGACCGTCGGCAGTCTTAGTGTTCTTGATGATCCAAGGAACGCCGTCCGCTGTGGGCACAGCCAGCTTGAGAATCTCTAGCGTAGGGCGCTTCCATGACTCGACGTACCCGGACCCGGACCCGTGCTTCAGCAGGGCCTTCACGATGCGAGCATTGACGTGGAAAATTGCGCTGCTGTCGAGGTCGGGCGTGGAGAAGACAACGTTATTCCAGCAGTAGTCTCTGTAGTCCTCCCAGAGGCCGCACTTCTTCATCGTCGTCATGAAACTCGTCGCCGCACTGTACTCCCGGAAGGACTTGAAGCGCCCGGGGAACGTTGCGCATATCCAATCCCAATATTTCGATTCATACTGAGGCGTGCTTCGACTGTCCCACTTCTGAGAATTGCAATATGATGTCCACCCTGCCACCATGTCGGTTGTCCTCAAATAATGCTCCATAAAGCTTGTCTTGGATGCGAAGGGGTTGAACTTGTTTCCAAGGTCGCGGAGATATTCTATGACATCTTTGGGGGTGTTCGGCAGGAAAACCTCAATATTGGCCACCCCTGCTTCAATTGATAAGTCGACGTTCTGATTGCTCCCCCCTGCCTCTTCATAAGCATCGTAGGTGGCCTCCACCAACGTTGCTGCCTGGATCAAGTGGAACACGCAAGTCGACAGATCGTTGGAGGAAGGAATGGCCCACGGCGTCCCGCGCACGCCGACGGCGACGCCATGGTCCACGACCAACTTCTTGAGCTGATCCCGCGACTGCGCCTCGTACCTGGCATTGTCAACATGCCGCGCGAAGCGTTTCACTGGCTGCCCCTCCGGCGTCAACAAATTGTTGCCAGCAGCATCCTTCGCAAAGTAGGACGCCCAGACGCCGCCAGTCATCAAGTAGTTCTCCCGCACGTAGTTCTGCCGAGCCCGCCCCGTGCAATTCGGCAGCCGTTGCTCGATGGACGTGACGGGCGTGCCGTCGGGCAGCGCGGTCGCGAACGGGCCCACAACTGCAGGACCAGAGACGACGACGGCGGCTGCTGGCCTCGCCCCCGGGGCCGACGACGGCGCTGGCACTTGTTGAGGCGAGCCGCGAGGGGCGACAGAAGAAGTGCCATGGCCCTCGTCGAAACTCCCGTCGCAGCTGAGAAGATCCAAGTCTGCTGCTTGGTCCTGCGGCATCATTGCGGCCCAGCTGCGCAGGCTGAGAATGCAGTGGCCAGTCGACGCACCAGTCAGGTAGATCGCAAATCAGAGAAAGCAGCTTGCAAGTTGTGCAACCAAATACGGCTACGGAGTAAGGCCCCAATTCCGAAACTTCGGGGCTCCAGGGGCCAGGGACCCAGGGATGCATCGTGCACTGCTTTGTGGTTGTTTGCTGTTTGCGTTGTCTTGATCCTTCTGTTCTGGGGCCCGGGCTTTGTTTTGAGGGCCGTACTTACAGAAAGAACTAGCACCCGCAGAGTGATCACAAAGTCTCATAATTGCATTGTCATGTTGTCATGTTCCGAGTGCGTCGACGTGCGTGCCATGTGCCAACGCGTTAGTGAACGCAGTCGCGAGGCGTCATGATATTAGATTTGCCAGGTCGTGAGATTCACATTAACATATTCTGAAGGGGGAGGATGGGAGGATGAGGAGCTCGTTGAGGAGTGGTCCATCACTTTGCGATTGTGCCATCGGGGCCCTTGGGGGATCACCAATTGAAGTTCATGAGTTGCGTCACCCCGTTGATGTCTCAGATATTCTGGAAGCTCAAGGCAATCACTTATTCACATTCGCAACCCCTTGCCTGTTGGAGCCTGCCTCCGCTGGGACTCGACTGGAGAGCTGGAACCTAAGGGAATATCGAATATCTGGACTTCCGGGTTTGGGAAACTCTGGAAACTCTCACTCATGGGCGACAGCTTCTGACATGTAGAATCAATTGTGTTTTCAGCATCTTGGCGGCCCTCCACTCCATGGGGCCCACGAGGGGCCCACGATTCTGTTGAAACAAAAGAGACGGCGGGAAGCCAGCACTCCTCTCGAAAAGCTCCTTGCGCAGGTTGGCGCACTGGTCAGCCACGGTGGTGCAGTTGCAGCGCGAGTCCGACGCGCACCTGGCTGCCGCGCGGCGGGGAGCGGAGGGGAGGGAGAGGGGGGTGCAGCATCGAATCGATCTCTCGAATGTCCTCCCTCGTCAATTCTCTCTGTCCGTTTCCCCTAGCCCTCCGCCGCCCCCTCTCGTATTCCTGGGGCCCCGGATGAGCATGGGTACTCGGGATGGCCTGGCCTTTGATACTCAAAGATCATTCAGCGCCTCGAAGCTTGTCCAAGCAGCCTCAAGAATTGCACCAGCCCTCTGGGCGTAGGTGGTTTAGAGAGTTGCCTCTTCCACCCCTCCTTCTTCCCCTTCGGGGAGGGGTTTACCCCTCCCCGACCCCCTCCCCTGGACCTGGACGGGGTCGGCAGAGCGTCCAAGATGGCCCAAGACCCAAGACGGCTCCAAGAGCGCTTCGGAGAGCCCAAGATGAGCTCCAAGATGGCTCGAGATAGCCTGAGACGCCTCAAGATGGCTCCGAAGATGCCCCAAGAAGCCCCAAGACCGCCCCAAGACGGCTCCAAGAGGCCAAATAGCTTCCCAAGGAGGCCTCCAAGAGGCCAACATCCTTCAAAAACCTAAGGAAAACGAATGATTTGTGCCTTCTCGCCTTTTCGCTTTCGATGGCCGCCCGAGGCCGAGGCCTCAAGATGGCTCCGAGAGGGGCCAAGGAGACCCCAAGAGGGGCCTAAGAGAGCCCCAAGACGGCCCCGAGAGCGCCCAAGAGCGCCCCAAGAAGGGCTCAAGAGGCGATTTTAGAGGCTCCCAAGGGG